CTAAAAGTCCATCATTAGAAACATCCCATCTGAAGAAAATTATTTAAAAACAAACATATTGTAAAATAAGCCCATATGTTACTTACAAATCGAAGATTATATCAAGTCGTTCGTCTAAATTTCCAGTGTTATTACCAATAGCAGCAAGAACAAGAAATTCATTAAAATCAATAGTACCATCATGATTTTTATCAATCGTATCAAATAAACTATATTTGAAGGAAAAATAAAATGAAATAAATTATATTAAAACATTGTATAAATATACTTGGGTGTTAAGTTTTTAGAACTTTCAGGAAAAAGTTGTTTAAATGTTGCTATAAATGTATCTTTATCCAATTTCCCTGTTGGATGTTTACTAACAAAGTCCTGTAAAAAAAATAATTAATATACATTTTATCGTTTAAAATCATATATATTCAACATACAGAATGCCATAATTGAATTTCTATTTAGAATCAGAAGAAAAATATCAAGGAAAAAATATATCAAACAGTATATCGATTACCTTTAGCACTTAAATGTGACGAATTTCGAATCATGTTTAATTCTGTATAACAAATATATATATATTTAGTAGATTGTATAACATATCGTCAAATCAACAAACCTTTGTCAGTCAAATCTGTTGGTTTTCGTTCCTTTCGAGGTTTTTTTGTATCCATCTATTTGTTTAATAATGTCGAATGAAAATTGAGATCTAAAATAATTATAATTAAATAGTGTACATGCTATTTAGTAAGTTGACCAATCTTCAGTGACTCTCATTAGTTAAAACACGGACACAACGAAATATTTTTCTTATTTATAATACATACTTATAATTGTGACGAGCAAAAGTAACACACGATATTATGTATTTATATCACAAATCCAGATGAAATCGAATGCAAATAGAAGTAACATGTTATGCTTCATTAATTGGATAATGATTAATAAATAACAAATCAAGGAATAGAAACTAAACCCCTCCCCATAATAGAAGCCCCTCCCATATTAGAAGCCCCCCCCCCCTTATTAGAAGCCCCCTCTGAGATGAACAACGTGTTTGACGTATTAGAAGCCCCCCTAATTTTTCGAAAAAATTTTAAAATTTTCAAGATTTTTTTTCGCATTTTCATGCTAAAACTGCTAAAATTTTTCGATTTTCAGGTAAAAAGTTGGCTGACTCTTATCAAGCTTAGCTAACATCTGAAAATAATGTCAAAAATCTTCTGGAAAACTCATAACAACCTTGAAAGTCGCTAAAAACCCTTGCGAACCCTTTTTCCTGGCAGTTTACGACATTTTTTTGAGACTTAATAGAAGCCCCCTCCAGAAGCTTCATATGATAGACATATTAGAAGCCCCCGGGGGGCTTCTAATATGGGGAGGGGTTTAATATATACGACACATCAAGAATAAAATAAAACAGAGACACATCATTGTATATCCCGAAAAATATAAACCTCCTATCACTCGTTAAGAAAAAAAAATGAGTGAAACATAATGAATACCTTTCTCGAAAATTGATAACTTTTATTCGTTTATTTCTATCATAGTATGCCTAGATTTAAATGTTTTTAGCTGAAAATGTTAATAGAGTACTTTCAATACTTGTTTTTAAACTTGTAAAACCATACGAAATTCATTTCCAACATCGTTTCAAACGATGACGATGACAAAATTTTTAATTAATTTATTTTTCGTGAGAAAAAATGAAATATTCTAAAAGATAGCCTACTACTTCGTTAGTTTAGAGGACAACGAATATGTTTTACTCATAGAAATACTCCATCAAAGCTTTCAGTTAAACAGACAATAAATATAATTATTTGAACAGCCTTGGATAGTACGAATCGAAGCTATATATTATACTTATGCTTTATCAATAATTAGTTTTTCTTTTCTGGTAGGTATTTATTGAGTCAGTTATTCACAAATTTTATACTTATCTTATTTTTATAAGACGCTTTACGTTTATTTAAGTAGGTAACAATAAAGTTCTGTCTCAACAGACGATACTTTGAAAACAATAAACTCATCAGAACAGGATTTGAATATAGGTGTAGTGAGCATGTGTTCCTCCTGTAAGTGGGAATGTGGGTGTGGGTGGGAGGATGCGTGTTAGTGTGAGTGTGGATATGAAAGCTTTTGCTAGAGAGTTAAACATCCAGACTCATCCACACTCACACTCGTCCCCAATTCGTTCTCCTGAATATTCGCCAATTGGCGAAAGTTCAGTGGGCTATCGCCAATATATCCCTTGGGAATTCATCAATTAACGAAAGTACACTGAACTTTAGCCAATACACCTCTGGGTTTTCTCCAATAATTGGCGAAAGTCTTATTAGCGAAGTTTCGGAATCCTTCCTTATGATCTCTAGGTAATCCATTGAAATAACTGTTAGTCTTCGGTGAACACCAAAACATAGCGCATTTTCGGTTATATATTGGTCTGTTATGTTCGAAGTGTTCCATTCTGCTCATTAGACAGAGAAGCGAAGCGATATCTAGAATAATACTATCTTTACCCTTCTTAGTTTTTATCTGAGCAAAGAATGTCACAATACAATTATTTTAAGCTTCATTCTTGTCTTTCGGGGCATACGGCAGAACAAGTTAACAAACTATATCCATACATTAGAATTCTCATTGAAAAATGATAACAGTAGACTTAAAGACGCTGAAATTATGAAATGCATTTGAAAAAAACAGCCGAAAGATAATCCGTATAACTCATTGTATGCATTTGTTATCTGTTAACCCTATGCATGTACTCAGAGATACACCGAGAAATAAATAGATGCTAGACAACTTTTCTCTCATGGTATTGTCAAAATCAATCAAGCGACTCAAGTGAAATAAGTCGGGTCGTAAAATGACCGTTTCCGTTGATTTTTTCGCCGTTTACCATGCACCGTATTGTGACACTTTGAGAAACGATCAGATACTGAATTTTTCGACCGTATGACGATCGTGATTAGACGTTTATGGTACGTCGAAATACGGTCCTAATATGATGCATGGTAAAATGTCAACTTACGATGATTTACGGCCGTAAACGGCGAGAAACGGTAGTATAGGGTATCGTATACGGCCGTTTAGGACCGTATTGGATCGTCGTAAAGCCCATTCTTGGACAACTTGGATAGAATTCCAAATCACATAATGAGAAAGACAACCAGTACCCAAAAACCAAATACAATCGAAAAAAAGCATAAGATTCATACAATGAAAGTCTTACTTTGCTCACCTCAGTTGACTGCTACAAAAATGGAACAGGCAAAATGTGACAATTTGCTGCTCCGTTTTACACCTTTTATACAATATTGCTCTCTTCTAGTGTTTATTCTTTCGTCCTACTCAAGTATTTTTTTATTCATAAAAGAGAAACGTAGACGAACAACATGCGCAATTCACTACTTCCAATGCTGCATGTAACCAAACCTTCAAGGCCAGCAAGGTGCTGCGCAAAACAAAACCACGACTCATTTCACCATTTTATTTTCATTGCGAATGTTTATCGAAGAAAAAATGTCCATGAAAAAGAAAAAATAGTTCTTCTCATCAGAGTAATGGGTTTTTACCCACAAACACAATAAGAGTGGGATGGGTGTGGGTGTGGGTAGGATGTGGATGTGGGTGTGTAGGTGTGGGTGTGTGGGTGTGGGTAGAATGTGGGTGTGGGGGACTGTGTGGATGTAGGCTGTGTGGGTGTGGGCTCTGTGCATGTGAGATCTAGGTATGGATGTTGGAAGACTATACCAACACCTGTACCCACACTCACGCCCACACCGGCACCCTCACACCCACACCCACACGCCCACACCCACCCACACTCACACCCACCCACACCCACACACCCACCCACACCCGCATACGGCGATAGCTCGTCGACAGCTCCACATGTTGTTGTTAGCTTGCAAAATTCTCTTTCAGAGATACCACATTGACGGATAAACCCCGTTCAAAGCGATCTGTGAACTTTAATGGCGAAGTGTTGAAAGCTTTGCTTTCTATCGATCTTCGTCGAACAAAACGTGCTTTGACTACACAACTCAACTGTTTCCAAATGACAATAAATACTCATCTTCACGCTCTCATAGCAAAATAAAGAAGTACAGAAATTGGCTTCCATGCCAATTATTCTTAGGCAAGTTCGCTTAGCGGGTATCGACTCATGTTTCGCTGTTGACCTGACAGAATCATGAAACATGTTTGGAAGAAATTGCCATTGGAGATGAGAAAGGAGTCTGTCACGTGGATGTCCGCTGTAAAAGCTACGAGTTTGTACATAATGAAAACCCATTATCGAAGGCAAAAGTAGAATTTCATCTAAACAAGACAATGCTGTGCACCTGGTAGAATATGCATGGTGTCATCCATTTTGAGGTTTTAGATACTAATCAGACGATACCGCCTATGTCTATTCTCAACAATTGTAACGTTTGCATGAAGCTCTGATTTAAGAGCGACTGGTTTTGTCTAATCGAAAAGTCATCATCGTTTCTCATGACAATGGAAACCTACACGTTGCAAGATTGATTCAGCAAAAAATTAAACAGTTCATATGACAAGTTTTTGCACCATGCTCATCAGGTCGTTACACTATCGAATTATCATTGTTTCGATCTTTCCTCTAAATAATATGTGCGAGAAACACAAGGAAGACTTCGATGAACTCAATTTCAACTTCACTATCCGTTTTTTGAATCACAACCAGCTAGTTTCTACAAAACATGAGATCAAACAATTTCCAGCAAAATGAACGAACATTCTCAAAAATAATGGCGATCGTATGCTTGACTAATGTTACAGATTTTACTCGTAAAATAAATTTAGTGCTAAACAAAAGAAAACTTGTAGAACTTATCTTCTAACCAAATACATTATACACATACGTATTTATTCAAACAAAACTAAGTTATTTCACATATTGTTACTTATCACACATAATTATTTTTATCTCTATAAAGATTTTTTTTACTTTATTGTCGTGTTCTTTCAAATATGTTTGACTAGTATATTTTTGCATAAGGAAAATATTCTTGTAAAGAAGTCGAATATCGTGTTTCAGGAAATAATTCCAATTCATTTATTTTCACACAATTAATTCGTGTAGCATCTCTTGCAAAATTATGTGTTACACGTTTCAATGATGCATACTTGATAGAAAGAAAGACATTCTTTGGCAAATACGTTTTAGTATCAATCAGAAATTCTTCAATATAATCATCATGAACATCGATAATAACAAGTTCATTAAGACAAGAATATTCAATAACAGATAAATTTTCATTATTATTGTTCGATGAATAAGATTGCTTCCAATTTTGTGGTTTCTTATTAGTTAAAGCCAGTTTTTCCATCAATGGAAATGATTGAACAATTCGAAGAAAAAATTCATGATCAAAAGGCTGTTCATCATACAATGATACTGCACGAACATATTTGAATAATCCTCCTGGGAAATTATTTGAAATACCACCATAATATGGCATAAAAGATGGATATGAATAAATATGACATCGACCTTGTTCTGCCTCGCGAAAATAATCAACATAAGAAATGATTTCATGATCTGAAAAGTCAATAAATGTGCGTTTAATATCTTCTGTTGATGATAAATTCACTTGATTCCGAATATGCATGACTGAACGAAGATAAAATGAAAATTGATTTAATCGTGGCATATAATCAATAATATTTCTCTTCAAATGATTTCCATCAATAAATGTTCCATTAACATTCACCGCCAGATACAAACTCAATTCTTCGAGATTGAACATTCGATCGAGAAGGGGAAGAATTGTTTCATTATAATTATAACTTTCGCCATTACATGACAAGGAAAAACATTTTAGATTTGGTAAATCTTTCTAAAAAACAAAATTTAGTTTGTTAATTGATAATATAAAGATTGTTCTTATAAAACTAACTTTATTTTGAATCCTATGTGAACCATGGAGATTAACCAAATCAACGTAGAGTGTCTGAAGTTGATTAAATCGACCATCGAGAAGATAAAGACAATCATCGATACATTGTAATCTAACACTTAATTTCCGAAGAGTTGAAGAACAAAATGAACGAGGAGGTGGGTCATGAAAAAATAATCGTAGACGATTTTTATACGATGATTCGTATAACATGAAATCATTTAGATTGGTGAAAACAGTCAAAATAGAATCATATATGTTTACAACGGTCTTCAACGTCACCTTATTATTATCAATTGTAATTAAAAGTGTTGTAATCTGGTTTTTGAACATACCAGATGAAAGAGCTTCATCTAAACAAACCAGTGAAAATTAGATTGAAATATAATGGAATTGAAACTTCTTACCAGTAAAAAGACATTGAAGTGACTCTTCATGAATATTATAGAGACCGAGACTACGTAAATTAGGATAATGAGCAGTACGTAAAACATGTTTCATCGATGATGATTCAAGATCAAGCCATTTAATGTTATGATGAATTTCTGGTAAAATTTGTAAACAAAATCGATCAAGTATCATATCACAACAAATTAGATCGATAAAACTATCTGATAACCATTTAACAAAAATCAAACGATTTGTAAAAACTCGATCCTGAATAATTTTATTTATTCGCTGATTGACACCTTGTAAAGAATAAAATACATCAAGATTGTCGAGTTTTTGGAAAATAATCATAAGGATTTCATCAGGTAAATCATTGAATCCAATGTCTAAATATTCCATCTTTACTTTCGCTGATTTATTCTTATCAACTTTTTATATGAGGGTCAATATTTATATGCATACATTCATCTGTTCTATTTGACCGATACCGTCAATACTGTAACGAACTTGAAGGAAGAAATATCCGTGAGGTAGTAATAGTCGCTCTATTTGGTTTTTTCACACAACAAATCCTCCCGCTCACACACAGAACATAGGCTAATATAGAAGAGATGGACAATGAATAGCAGTATACTATAGAGGTCACACGGTCAAATAGAGGGGAGCAGATAGATGAAGATTATACATTTCGTTACAAATACGTACAACAGTGCCTTTATCTGTCGTCAAAATTGATAAGGAATAAATGTATGATTGAAAAAATGTTGTTACAGTAAAATTATCTTAGATGGACACTTTCAGAACTTTTACAAATCGTCTATTTGATGGAGTTGTCGTTGCTAGAGAAATTTTATAGTGGTGGCCACAAACATGTTCTTTTTATACTGCCTTACAAAGGATACTAGATCATATACCATCAATCTACCTGCAGATGTAAAGGGTGTGAGTGGGTGTGGGTCTTCTCTTCAGCAATATCACACCTACATCCACATACCACACCCACACCCACCCACACCCACCCACACCCACACCCCACACCCACAGCCACTACACCCACCCACACCCACACACCGACACTCCACCGACACTACATATCTGTCTTTGTTTCTTGAATTGTTTTCTACATTGCAGCGTTGTTTTTAGTCGAATTTTGCGTTCGATGCTTAAAAACATCGTTTTACTCTTTATCTTTCTGCGTAGGTATGAGTAGCAGAAGAATATTTCTATCGTTCAAATAATAGTCTAATCATATTTCTAGGTTGACAGTCAAAAATGATTTGAAATCAGAACTAATCAAGAAAAAAGACAAGGAGACTACTGATAAATATGACCTAATGACCTCAATATAACACACATGAACTTGTTTTTCCTATAGTTTTTCTTTTCCCATGATCCATACAAATATTTCTTCATTTCTTTTTTATCTTCTCATGACACTAGACAAGACAAGAAAGGTCACCGACACAAGAGGACTGGAAACATTAACGGCTCTCTGGACTTATGTGAAAGGCCGATCAAATTTAAGCGAATAAGACGAGTTTTCTTTCGTTCTCTTGAATTCAATTGGCTTGCTACATGAGTCTACCACGCTGCTAGTGGTTTTCAGTCGTTTTCATTGTTCACTAAATTACCATGGATTGATCATACATTTTTTTAACATTATTTATTCTATAAACTTGTTACAAAACTCAGTCTTTATTTCAAATAGATATGAATAACTATATGAAATAATGTACTCCATCGAACTGGAATAGTAGCGTTATCAATATTCTCGGTATAGATGCTATCACTCCAGTTGTGTGTGCTTCGCATAGAACATTAACTTATACATGAGAGAGGAAAGAGTGAGTCGGGATTTATTATCGTTCATAAGGTTAGAGTGCCTAGCCGTATACTAATCGAATTCTCTAACATCATGGAATTAGGGGAGAAATAAACGTAAAGAAGATAGACGAAGAACAAATTAAAACAGGCAAATACAAGTTTCTTGTTCATAAAATGTCCGACTGTAACAGGAAAAACTAGAACATAATTTATAAAGTTAAATATTTGAAAAAAGTTTTTGAAAGAAAATCGTGATCAATCGTATTTCTTTTTTAACAAACTGATCCATCTTTGACCAATTGTCTTGATAGAAATAGATGCTTATATTTCAAAACGCGTCTTTTCACGGTTTTCTATACCTGTGAATTGGTCCTATAAATCTCAATATATGAATACTGTCGAATAGAGAGTTGTTTGAGTTTATAGTAATTGGAATCTAAACTTTGAATTATCAACCGTATCGTCTCCTTTGCGAACACAAAATCGAAAATTCTAAAACTACAGAATTCAATTTTATTTCATTCTTGAAATTAAATTTCAATAATAATTATAATTTCACTTTCGTTTTGAAAAATTGAAATTTCTAGAGTTCGCTTGTGTGTTCTACAGATTTTTGTAGAATAGACCTATGCATTATATTATTATATTACAATTATTATCGATTGAGAAAAACGATTAATCTGTTATATATATATATATTCGATTATAATCAATAATCATTCCAAAGAGCTATTGGTGATAACGATATTTTGCGTATCCTTACTAACTATGCAGTCTGTCATAAATATTGACATATCTTAGATTATACTCAAATACTTCCAAAACTTTTCGTCGACAACGAGTAAATTTTTTTTTGTTTATGAAAATTTCTTTTCATCTGCATCCCTTGCTCGTGCATGTATGTATTTCTTTTGTCAATATTCATGATTGACTGTATAGTTAATAACAAAACGCAATATGTCTTATTACAAATTATTGGTTAATCGAATATGTATACATAACAGATTACTTGTTTTTCTCAATCCATAATAATTGTAATATAATACAGGTTTATTCTACAAAAATATATAGAAAACAAGAGCGAACTCTCTATCTTCGTAAACCAAATACCATTCTATTTAGAAAATTGAATTTGAGCATTATAAATATTTGTTGATAAAAGATTCAAAATTAGAATACTTCATATTCAGTTGTTTTAAAAACAAGAAATTTCAATTCTGAATTATTACTCAAGTAGACTTTAAAATAAAAAGAAATTTCAACTGTGAAGTTTATCGTGAACTCAAGTTTCAAACGAAAATAAAATTTTAAAGGTTTATTCGATTGATGATCGCATGGAAAAATAATATCTAGTACCATGATATATGTCATCTGACTCCACATGGAATAGAGAAACGCGGATTGGATCTCATTCGATCAGTTTTTAATAATGATAATTTCATTTCATTTTATCAATATTTTGCAGTCTAACAATGTTTTCAATCAATATAGTTCTCGAAAATACCTATTATAATAAAATCTTTCAAATGTCTTTATTCAAAATCAATAATCAATAATCAATAGTATTTCTTTCACGATTTTTCTATATATAAAATATTGATTTACATGATCGAAATATGAATTCGAGATTTCAGTCTTTTGTCATAATAAAACTTATAAATATCATATTTTTGATTACATTCAAGAATAATTTGTTCGCGTGCTTCGTAATAGGATATATCATCTCTGAAAATACTCTTGACCATTGTTTAGTCTATTATTTATGCTATTGCGATTTACTACAAAAAAATGTAGAATAGAATTCATTTGGCAAATGTCTTGAACAATATACAGTAATCAACATTAGCAAATTTAATGAATATTAACCATGGATCATAATTTGTTGACTGTATTGATTATTGATTAAAATTGATTAAACTTCTTTTTCTTTTTCTCTTATTCAAAGTTTTCATTTTGTACAATTGTCTAAAAGATTAAAAAATGTAGAGATTTATTAAAAGAAGTCTAATGAATATAAAAAAGAATAAAGAAAAAAAAAATAAACGATTTGTTTATTGTTATCAATAAACCAATAAATGTCAATAGATTGAATTAATATACATGAATTATCCTTTTGCTTTTCATTGAATCTTATGATAAATAAAGACAATATATTCTACGTGACTTTTTCATCGATTCAAATTGAATTGTAGGACGTGAAAAAGTTTCAAAAAAAGATTGACACAACATTCATGACAGTAAGTTATTAAATTTACAACTGAAATAACATCGAAAAACTGATTTTCATTTGATCTGTATAATCATATAAATATTATCAATGATATGATAATATTTTAGTATTTTTTTTACTAATGCATTTCTCTTTATTCTATATTGATATTCAATTCATAAATTAGTCGAACAATAGAAAAATCTTATATATGCTTGGTTTTTATAATCAGTTTAGTGCCCTGTGTACACATGCAGACATTCTATTTCGCTAAGGAAAAGACGTTTCTACCAAGACAATCACTCGTTTTTTTTTATCGATGTTGTCGTGCCATCGACAAACCGTTCTCTTGCTCACATACAAAAGGGAAAAAAAGAGAGAGAGTGAGAAAGACAAGTAAGTCAAAGAAAAGAATAAATTATTTGTTAGGCATTGCAGTAGTAGTGTTCCCTCACATTTTCTTGTTCTTCTATATATATATATATATATATATATATACTCGAGCGTGCACATTCATGTTTTCTTTTGGTATTGCCACAGTCAACTTGTCGTTTCTTCAGTTAATATTCATTGTTTTGCGCATACTTTAAGCGCTAGTATTCAATGTCTGTCAGTTTAATTTCACGTTATTGTGTTTATCATGTTGATTTGTCGGAATAAAAATAATGTCAGGAGTAACAAAATCGATGCCAATGGCCTACAAGTAAGTTTTAAATTTCTTTTTATCATATAATTACTACAAGAATATGATAAAAATTAATGAAAGACTTTATGAATTATAAAGAAAAAAACTAATCATATTTGACATGAATTATATTACATCTTTGATTTAAAAGAATAAATAAATAAATGTAATGATAATTCTATTGAAATCATATAACGAACTTAATGTATTACTGAACAAAGATATCGTTTTATCATCATTATTTTTCTTATAATGATAGAAAGAAGTTGAGTCTATTGTAGCTTATTATTTTTCATTGTTATTCGAACGAATGTCTTGATTTACAAGCAGAAAAACAATGTTATCATTCGATGTATTTTGTCATTAACATAACAATAATAATAATAATAATAATAATAAAGAATTTATCATTATTGTTTATCTTATTCTATTCGCTATGATTTTGTCACTATTATATCATCAACAAGATCAATATATAAATCAGTGCTAGTTACTGACAGATATATTCCAGTTGCTTTTATTATGAATAGTAAATAGAAATCAAATAATAAATATTTTGTATTCAAACTATTCTTGATGAAAATTTTCAGATCCGAACTGGACGGACTCTAGAGTTCTCATACTATTATTTATTCATATAGAAAAAAAAACAAAACTTCTTTTTTAAATAATTATATTTCATTTAGAAATTTGGGACGTAATGGTTTACGAGTCTCTCAATTAGGCCTTGGCACATGGGTAACATTTGGTGGACAAATATCAGATGATATTGCAGAAGAATTAGTTACTATTGCTTATGAAAATGGAATAAATCTATTTGATACTGCTGAAGTTTATGCAGCTGGAAAGTAAGATATTTCAATATTATGAAATAAATATTTTTCTTCATTCTTTTGTTTTTTTTTTTATTAAATATCATTAGAGCAGAAATAACACTTGGAAAAATTTTAAAAAAGAAAAATTGGAAAAGATCAACTTATATTGTATCAACAAAGATATATTGGGGTGGAAAGTAAATATTTGAAAATTAGTCATTCAAAACAAAAAAACAAAATCTTGCATTTTTTGCTAGAGCTGAAACTGAAAAAGGTCTTTCACGTAAACATATTATTGAAGGTTTAAAATCAAGTCTTGAACGTTTACAACTTGATTATGTTGATATTGTATTTGCTAATAAACCTGATAGTTCAGTACCAATGGAAGGTAAATAAATATTATTTAATATTTAAAAAAAAAAAAGATTATTTTCTAAGAAATTGTTCGAGCATTTACACAAGTAATTAATAATAATCTTTGTTTCTATTGGGGTACATCAAGATGGTCACCAATGGAAATTATGGTAAGATAACAAAAACAAAATAATATTAGCTTTTTTTTTATTTATTTGAATAAATATTATTTTATTATATAAAAGGAAGCTTATTCAATTGCTCGACAATTTAATTTAATTCCACCAATATGTGAACAAACAGAATATCATTTATTTCAACGTGAAAAAGTTGAAGTATTTTTACCAGATGTTTTTAAAAAAATAGGTTTGCTAAATATGTAAGTTTAAAAAAAATGTGTACAATTATTTTTTTTAGGTATTGGAACCATGACATGGTCACCCTTAGCATGTGGATTATTAACAGGAAAATATGATGATGGAGTACCATTACATTCAAGAGCAGCACTTAAAGTAATATTAAATGATATGAAATACTGGATTTATTTCTTATTCACTATGGTAGGGCTATGGATGGTTGAAAGACAAAGTTTTAAATGACGAAGGTCGAAAACAACAAGATAAATTAAGAGAATTAGCTATTTTAGCATCAAAATTTGATTGTACACTTGCTCAATTAGCTATTGGTAAGAATAAATATTTTCTTCGTAAAAAATAAATTTAAAAATTTTTCTTAACTAATAACTTTTCATTTAGCATGGTGTTTAAAAAATGAAAATGTTCATTGTGTATTACTTGGTGCATCCTCTGTTGAACAATTATATGAAAATCTAAATTCATTACATGTAAAAACAAAACATATTTTTATTTTATTTTTAAACAATCGTTTCTTTTTTTTTCTGTTTTATACATTTAGATTGTTTCAAAATTAACTCCATCAATAATGACAGATATAGATCGAATCCTTGGTAATAAACCAAATATTTATATGTTAACAAAAAATGAAACATTTCATCATCAACAACAAATTCAACGATAAATCTATTTAGTTGTTTTTCTTTCGATTTGTTTCATTAAAGGAATTTTGATTTTTTAATTTTTCCTTTAATAATAAATCTTTCATACCAGCCTAGAAATAAATAAATAAATAAATAAACAATTGATTAAATAAAATTTTACTTTGGATTTATCAAATTTCGAACGTTTTGGTAATGTTAATGTTGGTGGTTCATGAACTATTTCACCAAATTTTGGTTTATCTAATTAAAGAAAGATTATAATACAATAATATCTAATATAAAATTTACCTTGGAATAATTTAAATTCATCATCTTTGATTTTTTTTTCTTCTTTTTTTAATTTATTTTCTTCTTTTTTAGTTTGTAAACGTCTAAAAAATAAATATTTAATAATTTCATCAGATTATTTAAATTCTTTTTTACATAATTCAAAAAAATCAAGATTTTATTTTTCTAATGGTTAAGAAAACTCATTGATATTTATCTTGACAAAATAATTCAAGAGTATATATCTAGTCAGTTCAAATAATTAATAAAAATTGTAAGCCATAAGATTGGCGTCCACATCCTTAGAGATACGATTTGTCTTCGAAAAATATTTTCATTTATATACATTTTTTTAATCTATCAAAACAATGAGCTATGCCTCACATTAGTTTATCAACTTCTCGACAGTAAAAATAACGTCTAAGGTATGCCATTTGTTGCTAAGGGCGACTTCTCTCGTTTCATCTCTTCTTCTCAATGCTTTCATATGAAAGAGAAACAAACAGATAATGCGAAGAGGAAATCAATGGAGAGAAGCCATCCTTAGCAACAGATAACATACGCTAGGTTATATTTTTGTTGTCAAGAGTCTTATAAGCAAATTAAGAATAAGACTAATTATACGTGTTCGTAGAAAAGTAGAGTTTCTAAAATAAATTCATAATAAGAGATGTGATTACTTAGCGATTTCAATGGTTTTTTTTTGTTTATAGATACTACAAAGTGTTCTAGAGAAAGCTCTAAAAAGCTTTCAGTTCTTATTAAAACTTCATGGAACGATTGAATTTTTAATATGTCTATGTGCAAAAAATACCTACAGGATGCCAGGTTTTCGGTACTATCGTGCTTTTGAAGTATCCTACAGAGATCTTTGACAAACGGTCACATTTGAATATTCAATACCTCCGTTAAGTCTCAATAAGAACTCAAGTCATTTTAGGATTTTTGCTAGAATATTTTATATTATCTATAAGCAAAACAAAAGATCATTGAACTTGGAAGCAGACATCTGGAAAATCCACGCAATCTACCTATGTGACATTATCATCTATGTAATTACGTTCATGGATTTCGAATAATATCAAATATATTAAATAAAGAGAGTAAATAATTCATAATTTTATCGTAACTTACTTGAGTTTTTTTTTCAGATCGTTTACTTTTTTCTTTTTTAACTTCAAATTGATGATCACCTTTTTCACTATTCACTAATTTAACATCATATTTTGATTCATAACGAGCACGATCTAATGCAAATTTTACTTCCTAAAACAAAAAAAATTAAATAATTTTTTTTGTTTTATTTTCATTAATTATTTATTTTATGTTACATGATCTAATCTTTGTAAATAATGTCGATCAGATTCATTTGGTTTTTGTTCAAGTTCTGGATATTCATTATCTTCATTTGTATTTTGTTTAAATTTATTTTTATTTTTTTTCTTAGATGATTTTTGTAATTCTTGAGCATGTTGTTTATTATCAAGAAATTGTTGAAAACGATGAGAAATTTTATTATCAATTTTTTCACCTTTTTTTGGTGCTTGATTTGCACTAACTAATTTTCTATAGAACAAATGTATAATAATGAAAATTACTATTACATAAAAGAAAACAAAAATATATACAAACTTATCAACGAGAAGTTTTCTTGGACCGGAATAAAATGGATCAATAGCTTTTAATTTTTTATGTCGACGACCACCACGACGTTTTCGTATGAGTACCATTCTTTTTTGAAAATTTCGGAAAATGTTGCTACAGATCGAAATATATTATATATATATAAATTCCAAAGAGAAAATATGATTGGAGTGTTTATTTGAATCAATGCATGATTCTAAGAAAGATGGCGTGGCTTTTTGGGAACTGTTCGAATAGACAAATGGAAATCAACGACAAGGAGTTAGCTACAGTCGAGTCCACTTATAAGAGCTCCGGATAAAGGAGCGGTTCGCTTATAAGAGCTTTGTTTTGGCGCTTTTTTGCGATTTGAGTCCGCATAAAAGAGCCATATTGTATGTTCTTCTTCTTTTCTTTTACTATTCATCTGTTGCATGTATGCTCTTTTTCGTCTTACTCACTTGTCCTAACTGACGTTTTTGTTGAGTTAGAAGAACCATTTTCTTTTTCTGTCTATTATTCATTTTCTAAACAGTCGGACGAAGCTTCTCGACTTTTTCTCTAGTCCATCTATTGTCTCTCTCCTATGTATATATACTTGCTGTTTCTTCAATAAAGGGGTCAGATATTCATCCATCCCAAAGGTAATATATATTTTAGAAGAAGAAGACGAAGAAGAAGCCGGAATTGTTGATGAACCGATGCCAGGTGTCTCTCATAAAGATGCACTGATGCATCTTTCGATGGTTCGCAAGTATTTGGAAGAGAATTTTACAGAGTATAATTCATATTATGATATCGAAGACATGATCGAAAAGAACGCTTTAATTAATCGTACTCAAAGTAAAATCACGGATTTCTTTAAGTAAATTTATGTATGTCTATGCACTACTTAATAAATGTTGACAAGAAACAGTTTTTGCACTGTTTTACATATAGTTCGGATAAAGGAGCGGTCCGGATATAAGAGCCTCTTTTAGAAACCCCGACTGCGCTCTTATAAGCGGACTCGACTGTATTAATGATTCGAGTTAGACGTTCTGGGATGTCTCGAGCAGATTGTTCTTCAATGGAGTCCGTCGGGTTGGTTCCGGATCCAAGTATGAGAATTTTGGATCCCATGAGCTCTATTCTCCACTCTTGAAAAATTTTCGTTTTTCTCTAGCGTTTTGTTATAGTTTTTGCTTACCTATTTCCCCAAAACTACTAAAAATCCTCCCAAATATGATCGATTCCATCTAATCGTAGCCATCTCAGGTTACCTTGGGTAATAATAATGTTCCTTAGTCTTTCATTCAGCATCGTTTTCTCGACACGAGAGAATATTCAAAAGTATTACCCTTCAAAGGACTAAAACACAAGACTCCAATGCATGAAGACATTCAAATTTTCTGTCTTTTTTTTATTGTTTAACTTCTGAGTTATCGTTTTACATTACTTTTGTTTGCAAAAAAAATATTCTTATCGGTAGCAATATAGCGCCATCTTTTAGTTTATTTAATTATTGTTAAAAGCGAACAATCAAATCGATTTTTCTCTCTTTGTTTTTTTTTCCTTTTAACAAACTCGACTATAAATATTGTACGCTTGATCATAAGGACAATAACAATATCTTTGATTCAAGACGCCATTTATTTTTTTCCTTTTTTGCTTCAGACTTGCATCAACTATAAAAAAAATGGGTAAACGTAAATCAAAACGAAAGCCACCACCAAAACAAAAACGAGTTGCAGCTCTTACTCTTGTATTTCCATGTCCATTCTGTTCACATGATCGTTCATGTGAAGTTAAAATGTAAGCTATAATCAAGAATTTTTATCAAATAAATAAATATAAATTGTTTTTATTTTTTTATTTTCTAGTGATCGAAAAGCAAATGTAGGTACAATTGAATGTCGTATGTGTCAAGAAACATATTCAACAGCAATTCATTGTAAATATTATTTTTTTTTTTATTTTTTCTATTCTATCCTATATTTATAGATTTAAGTGAACCAATTGATGTATATAACTCATGGATTGATGCATGTGAAGAGCAAAATCGAGATTAATTTGTTTTTTTTTTCTTCTTTCTTCATAACAATATTTTGTTTGGTTCTTTTTTTTTTTTATACAAAGAAATATAATGTTTTCTTTCGTAATTCGACAAAAATATATATTATTTTTACAGATTAGAAAATATCTATAAATAAAAAAAAATGGGTCGTAAAAAAAGTAAACGACAACCACGAAAAAGTATGAAACGAATACAAACATTACCAACAGTTTTTGAATGTCCATTTTGTAATCATGAAAGTTCATGTGATGTAAAATTTGATCGAAGAAAACAACGTGCACAAATTTTATGTCGAATTTGTTCAGAAACATATGAAACTGATGTGAATTGTAAGTATGAACAAATACATAGGGCGATTTAGTTTCATGAACAAATCAAAAGGTAGCTTAGAAGATTTACAATGACGATTGAGTTTCTTTTCAAAAAACTTCTCAAGACAACATTTCAGTTTTTCTCTCGAAAAAAATTCGTTTCCACAATCAGTAAAATCTTCATTTTTATGACTTAAAACAATGCTCCATTTAGGTATGTTATTCAAGTAATTCGTACATGGAAGAATATATTTCAAACTATAAAAAATATTTTTCAAAACAGATTCAAACAAATCTAAATTATACTTTAAGAGTATCCTTATTTTAGATTGTCTATCTGTGGTAAAAATTCCAGACAGATCGATTTTATTCTCTTCATTGACTAGCAATAACCAGAAAAAAGAAGGCGAATACCTTTAAAATGGGTTTTGTCCACAATAATCAAACGTCAACATAAGCAACTAACTTAAATAACACTGATTAAAGAAAAATTAATTTTCTTTCAGTTATATTGTCCTATGGAACAATAAATATTACTTATGGAGATCGTATCCAACATATAGGATGAAGACAATATCGGTATGTCTTTAATTGGGTTTTTCGTTACTAAACGTTCTAACAATGTGCAGTTCGTGAACACAATATTCGTTTATACCTTCTTGCATTAAATGACTAACTATAAAAATTATTCAAATATAATTTTCTGTCTATTTTTTGTTTTAGATTTATGTGAACCAATCGATGTATACAATGCATGGATTGATGCATGTGAAGAAGCTAATAAAAATCAATCGATAGTATCATAAACATTTCTCAGGATAATTTATAGTTGTTTTTTTTTTCTTTTCTTTTCTTTTGTCGGATATTATTTAACTTTGTTTCTCGTCAACAATCAATTAATCTTTCATTTCCTATGAACAATCAAACTGATATTTTCTTTTTGTTGTCCGGTGTTTATTTCTTTTGCTCATTATTTGAACAGATATTTATTTATTTCATTTCATTCCAGTATTATGTAGTTCTTTTGTTTTTTCTTCTTTTGGTTCAGATAGTTTCTATTCCTTATTGTTATTAATGAAATAAAATAGAAAACAAAAAAAAAAAACAATTTTAACATTCATTCCAACAAGCACATTTACTAGATAATGTTAAATTATATTGTTTATGTTCATATTCTCCATTAATAATAAGTTGATCAAGTTCTTGAGAACATACAAGATTAACAATGGATTGACGATCATCTGCTGAATAAATAAGTGTTGCTTTTCCATCCATACTTATTGACCATGTTACAATTGAATTATAACCAAGAATAAAAGAAACTGATTGATCTTTGTATGCTAAAAATACGAGATATTTGTTCTTTTTTTTTGTCATTTAAAAAACAAAACACTTACTTTGACATATAGCTACATTAATACAAGATGGTTCTTCAGAAAATGAATAGCATGGATTGTAACTGTAGAAGATTAAGAATATTTTCAATAAATAAATTAAATAATAAAATCTTACGAATAATAAAAATCATCTTTATGAATATGTCGAAAAGCAGGTATGCCATGTTTCAAACCAACTTGAGATAAATTAATACTACCAAATCTACCATCTTTATAAGTACAATCATTTTTAGTTAATACATTAATAGAAGCATGTTGTGTAAGCTGAATATTAAAAAAAACAAAAAAGAAGAAAAGTTTCATCATCATTCAGCACAAAAAAGAAGAACAACCAGATATAGTTAGTTAAATAGAAAAATGTTGAAGTGTTTAAGCAAACAATATAAAATAAAAGATAAATGAGGATGATGAAGTTTTACTATTGTTGTTACTTTGTCCTCTAATTATTTCATTTTTTTTTGAAAGCAGATTCTTGTCATGATGATGTCTTGGTTAACAATATTCACTTGTTTTGCTTTTTTATCATCACTAATTATTGCCAATGATCCATGTCGATTTGAATCTTCTACAAAAGGTGTCATAGATTTAACTTCTTTAGGTCGAACTGATGGAAAAGCTGCATATCCTGATAAATTACCATCGACAGGATCCGGCTATAGTATGTTGAATTTGTCTTAATATGCATTATTTAATATTTATTAATGATAGAATATAGTTATAATCCTTGTAAACCATTTACTGAAGAACCTGCTTGTAAAGGAGTAGCTGTTTGTCAAGGTTAGTAATTTGATATAATTCACCTATTTTACTTTATATTGTATTTAGTTTCGATGGATGGAAAATTTAGCTTTTCCCTTGGTACACAAGAGAGTGCAACCTGGAATCAAGGTGGTATAGGAGGTGGTCCTTCGGTTACTTATTCAGCTGGTGAAAAAACAGTCGTTGTTACATTAGAATGTGTAACTGATGGTACCAATGAATTAGAAGCTTTAGGTGAAGTTTCAACCAATCACTATAAACTTAATTTAAAACATAAATGTGCTTGTTGGGATGGATGTAAAAGTAGGGACAACTTTGAAGGATAATATTTGTTTTAATTATCTTCTTTATAGATGTACCACCAGAAACAACAACGAAATCATCAGAAGGAGGTGGCGGCAGCAGTAGTCTTTCTGGAGGAGCTATATTTACCATAATTTTTCTTATTCTTGTTTTTGATTATTTCACTGGATTTGTCTTATAGTGTAAAAGATGAGAACTTTCATATTGAACTTTTTTAGTTGTTTTTGGTGCTGGATTTAAGCTAATTAATTTTCTATAGCAAACGAAAAGAATAAAGACAA